TCTCTAACGTGCTGACCTATGGGCAGTGAAGGTCACGGTCTCGTCATAATCAACTACTAATGCTGACATGTCAATCGCGATAGATCGCTTGGTGACCACTGCGATAACGCAGTGTTTCGATGCATTACCACTATAATTCATGGCTATTATGTAGTGATATACAACTGAAATGACTGCTTTTTGAATGGCCTCTCTAAGTTCCGTTGACAACGTAAAGGCAAAATTCCCTTTGATGCGAAGGATACAGGAACTCAGCTCTTTTCTAATTCTAATGAAACTGATTGGCATTCAGGGACTGTCTCTCTCCTTTCCACAAACCCTGGCACAAACAGAATGACTCGCATGTCATTGACTTGTGAAAAATGACTTTTACATTTACACTAAACTTACAAGGGCAATGCACAGTAGGGCCTTATGTATAAATATATATGTAGAACTTTTTTTTTCTGAATTATATTAGCTGGGCTGCTACATATCACTACATAATAAATATATTTAAAGACAGAAAGGATATGGTTTGATTGATGAGTTCATAGACATTGTTGGGGGAAGTTACTCACAAAAGTAACCCATCACAGACAGAGGTGGGTAGTTCAGGTCCAGAAATTATAAATCCAGACCAAGATTTTGTTTCAACCAACCAGCTGAGTACTCTGTGACTGTGACTCTATATACTCAACTGGTTGGTTGTAACAAAATCTTGGTATGGATTGGTACTTTCTGGACCTGGACTTTCCACCTCTGTCTGTGATGGGTTACTTTTGTGAGTAACTTCCGCAACACTATTCATAATGTTATTTGCTAAACAATAAAACCAGAAATATTACTACCCAAGAGTAAATATACTTAAACAAGACTACTGCCATAAGAAAGACTCCTGATTTGGTTCTTCTACCTAAACTGCCTTCCTGCACATCCTGAGGATTATGCTTAACAGCAATTAAGTGGACAGTTTATCATACAAGAAAAGCTGGCATTTAACTAATTTAGATTTGCAGTGGATAAGTACAACTGTTTTACAGAATGATCACTGTACATTGAACACTAAAACATACTTTATCTAAAATCATTCATCATGGGTGAGACTTGTAAGTTCCATGCTCGATTATAAAAAGCTATCTTCTCATAAAAATAAAGCTGCTGAAATAGAAACATATTCCCTGCTATTTTAAAATGAAAAATTCTAACAACTCAGTTTGTAGACCAGTCACATGACTGCAGTTCAGCGGAATCTTGAGTAAAACTCAGTTCTAGATACTGACCGACATTTGAACTGTATTTCCCCTGAAGTTGTGTTTAATTAAAACTGATGGAAATTGAAGCCGCCAGTTTACCAGAGATGTTAATGGGAACAATGTACGAGGAGATGACTTGAGAGTCAGTCTTCATCCTCTCGTCTGGGGTGGGAAGAGGAAGAGCTCTGGACCAGTTGGTCTGCTTGTCCAGTGTGGAGGGAATGTTGGGCACCGGACACCTAGGCCTGTGATTGAGAGCCACCATGTCAACAGCAGGATCTGTAGGTGGGTCAGCCTGAAACAGATGGACAGGAATCCAGGTTGATTCATTGCCTTATGGGGTCCGACATATATCAGCCCCAAAATAATTCTGGGGTGAAGAAAAAACAAGGAAATATTATCGTTCTTTCACATACAGTGGTCACAGTATTGTATGAAATAACAAATTAAATATATCAGAATGACAGAGGTGCCAGCATCAAAGTTATACAAGATTTTAGAGTTTCAGACAGTAAAGAACGTGCAAGGTCAAGTTCAAAATTTATGCTAGATCTTACAAGAATTACTTCCCTATCAATTAAAACAGACCCTATGTAAACAACCACATATGGTTTACTGATACGTTTTATGTAATTTATATTTTTCCATAAATGCTATTCAAATATAAATTATCATCAAACACATTTGTCAAAATATGTTCATATGAATATGAATTTTAAAGTATGACTAAGTAACCAACACTATGAATGGAGCCACGATTACTTCCTAAGTCAACATCTAAGCTGTCACAAGGAAAAGAGACCTGCCATAATCCAAAGCTTATTCTGCAGGAGACAAAGAATCCTGTCATGAGGCCAACAGATAAATGAGCAAACTAGCTAATGACATTCAATAACTCTGCATGCCTCGCATAAGCAAAAATCACACAAATATTACTCTCAAATTATACACTATATACTTTGTATGAGGAATTGTGGATTTCGAACTGATTCATCTTGCAGAGGATAGAGGATGACAAAGCGGCGTTTGGTTCATGAGGGTGAAAGAGGAATGAGTGATGACTGGGAGAAACGAGGCTTCGGTAAATGCGGCTTCCGTAAGGAGAGACATCGCATTGTCATGCCTACAGGAATTGTACATATAAAGACGAAGATGATCACAGAAGGACCTAGAAGCAAAAAGGTTGAAATGTTGAGGGCTACAGAGATAAAGAGAAAAAGGGGCTAAAAGAAAGTTTGAGATTAAAAAGTTAAATATGTCTTATTTTCGTAATAATGAGTTTGGAAGGTGTGGAAGTATTACTCCCCTGAATGCGCTGTGACTCAGCATGCAGCGTTGTGTTGCGTGTCAAGGGTTTAAGCCAGAGGTGGATAGTTCAGGTCCAGAAAATAAATATCCAGACCAAGATTTTGTTTCAACCATCCAGTTGAGTACTCTGCGACCGTTACTCTTTATATTCAGCTGGTTGGTTGAAACAAAATATTGGTCTGGATTTTTACTTTCTGGACCTGAACTATTCACATACTGTCTGACTGTATGCTCTGCAATGGACTGGCATCCTGTGCAGGCTTCATGCAGTCTTGTGACCTCTGTTTCCCAAATGAACTTGGGAACCATTTTTATCTGCTTCAGGGAACTGGTTATGGAAAATAGATGGATGGAAAAATTATTCATGAGATCATTTGTGCTGTTTTAAAGCTCATCAGTAAAAAAAATCTTTCAGCAAGTGAACTGATAGTCTTCACATACTAGAAACATCTCCAAAAGTCCAATGGAAAACCACGTGTGTCGTGTATTTACATAATGATGCAGTTTGAATAAGTTGATAATGCAAACATAGAAGCAGGGGTATGATTCAATAGCAACACATTTTCCAACCCTATGCTGATCATCATCAGTCTCAAAACAGAAAGATGAGACATTTATTCAGCAGAAATAATTGAAACTGATGCGGTCAGGAGTCAGTTCATAAATCTAATATTTAAACTAATGGCAGAATAGAAAGCCAAGAGAAGCAGAGGTGTTGTCAGAGGATTGGAAAGCAGAGACCCCTAGTTTCATTGGGGGTGGGGGGGCAAATACCTTTCTGCTCCAGGGGGCAAAGTGGCAACATTGGATGGATGAGAAGGATGGGGTTTTCCCAGACTACAAACACAAAGGTGGGAAACAAAGAAAATGACACTGTATTTAATGACATGATATACGACCGTGGAATTATGGCAAAAATCATGGGTGTATGGGACTGCCTGGCTGAATACCCTCAGAGAGTAAAACGACATGGTGACATGACGGTCAGCTCTGGACAGCCAATGTCATGACCAGAACTTAGGAAAGGAAATGTCCTGTAACAGGCCTGTGAGCCAAATCCCAGAAAGCAAGCTCCCATCTGGATGTTCCTAGAAATAAAGTTGATCCATTAGTAGGCTGATGATCCTTCAATCTGTAACAATAAGTGCAAAATTTGATGAGAGATGGACCTGGAAAGGGAAGCAATGCCACTGAACTTTGAGTGATGACCAGTCCTCCTTCCAAGCATAATGCTTTTCTAAAACCTCAACCAGAGCTGCTGTGGAAGCTGAAGTATATACTGACCGTACATGTACAAACCTATATTTGGCCTGGAATCTCATTTTGGCCCTTTACATTTATGATTTTCCCATTTTAAATCATTTGATAATGTTTGTCATAAAACAACAAGATGTCGGACACCTGAAAATCGCCCATAAAAAAGGACAGCATCAGCTGTGTCAGGTACGTCCTTAAGCCACGGACAGCATCAGCTGTGTCAGGTACGTCCTTAAGCCACGGACAGACAGAAAAGAAATAAATGAAGGACTTGAGCAGTTGCCTTAGGAGAATTTGCACAAGCTACTCAGTTTACCTTCTGCACTGGCTGAAATTCACTTATGGGTTTCTCCTGCAGCATGTCGAGAAAAGAACACAGGCTGTCAGGTCCACAAAAACACATGAGGCTGTGTTACATATGAACACAGACTGTCAGGTCCACATGAATACATGAGGCCGTGTTACATATGAACACAGACTGTCAGGTCCACATGAATACATGAGGCCGTGTTACATATGAACACAGACTGTCA